GAGCTGGCCTTCTAGTTTTGAATCCCTCCAGTCTCTAACGTTGACTTCCGTCAAAATGTCGCATAAATACCGTGATATTTTATCGTTCGTCTTCAACTGGTTTTAACTAATATATCAACATTTAAAAATTACCCACACTAACAGTTGTAGCCCCGAGCCTGTTTTTGCTATCCGTCGGTATCGGATCGTCGATATCGGATATTCTCTCGTTATCATTTGAACCAGTGCTCTTTGCCCATTTAAAAAACATTACAAAAAAGCACACTATGTTATTAGGGATAATGAATTAAAGAGCTTTTGATGCCAACCTATTCGATATAACAATAACATCCTTTCCGCAGATAATTACCACTTTCCACAAATATCTCGTTAGGTTACCGACCAAATATTGAAATAAATAACTTTGGTTACCTCTTGGAAGGCCCTAATGGCCGTGTCAGTGGCGCCAAATGCTCACGGGACGCGCCTCGACGGCACCGAGATAACGGCGCTTCAATAAGCTTATCATTTTCGAATATCACTTTTTGCATGAGATGATATTAGCAAAATATACAATAATGAATACAATACTTAATACTTTAGAGATTATATTCTTGTCGAATTAATAATCCAGCAGTATTTGCAAGTGACCTCCTTACCTACTGAATCTTGAAATTTCGGAAAGCGTTGAAATTTGTATTTCCTTAAAATATATTTTTATCTTCTTGTCGTCATACGGGTACTTAAGAAACGAGTATGCACAACAACTATCGTGTTCAATAATGGTGTCCGCATCATCCTCATTTTCATTTCTATACTACCAGTAACGGTGAACATTAGGCAGATTTTTTTGAGACCAATGAAAGGTTTAATATAAGGAAACACATATATTTTTTTTTATTTAAATTCCCACAGCGGCGACAATCTTTTCGTACTTAAGTACAGAGATTAGCACTATAAAAAACTTTAAAAAAAATTTTTAATTTTTTAATAATAACCAATCATCGGATCGTTGCCCAGACGAGTCTAGTTTTTGATTGCTTTGTATTTAAAGTGTTATAAAGGAATGATTTAAAAAAATAACTCTTATTACAATCTCGTCTTGCCGTGCTACAATACTATAAACATTTTTATAATGCAGCAGGACGGATTGAAAATGTAAGATATAATAAAATTTTCCGTATCATGATTGAATGTGATAACTGAATTTAAATGTCGTGTACTTGAATGTGATAAGTGAGATACTCACATGAAGAAATTATCAGAATATATAAACTATAAAGTCAACAAGGTGCCGATTTGACCCTGGAATTTTAAACCGACTTCCAAAAAGTTTTTAATTTTTTCTTAAATAAAAGTTTTTCATCTTTTGTTTTGTGTGCAATAAAATAAAAATAAATAAAGTAATTTCATTAGTACATCCGGTAATTTCTCAACTTCTACTACTCTCTACTTCTTTGTGTTTTGTTTAAAAATGTCAACTAAACGAATACTAACTTATTTGTATAATACATAGCGTATGATACACAGGCATGATATAGCTTTTCGTTTGTGAAAAATTTATGGGATCAATTCGTTGGTTGTAAACGTTACATACCATGAAATAATCAATCCAATCTTAACTCTATGTTTAGAATATTTCAAAAACTTTTTTAGTATTTAAATCTTTACAATTTAATCGAGCACTGAACGTCTCAAAAGGCACAGATATATCTTGACACGTTATTAATTCTCGAGTCAAAATTGTTTTAGACTTCAAAATATATTGCAGAGTTCCCATCGTTATTAGATCTTTGTAATTTGTTAATGTCTTCGTTAAATGGCCCATTTATATCGTAAGGACTAAAGTTATGTCTTGATGATACAAAATTCCATTAATTGTATTGACTTCCCTTATTTGCGAAAGCGTGTGAATACCGTCTGGAACGATCACTGTCGCCATCGTTTTCTGTTTATTTAAATATCATCGGTTACGCTGTTTAATTTAGACAACAAAAGTATTACTACTGTAGCAATAGTAGACGGAACTGAACATTTGTCACCAATTAAAATAAGCAAATAAATGACATGCCCAAAAGTCATTATTGATTATTAATTATTGATTCAATTTCAAATTCTCTTATTATTCTTAGGGTTTTGACCTCGTATGATAATTTTCTTATCGTACCATACGGCTCTATCTACGTCGTTGTAGAGATTGTGCTAAAGTTGTTTAATTCATCTGAAAGGGGAACAACAAAACAAAACTTATGTATTCAAAAAGTGGAAGATATTATATATATATATATATATATTAGATATATTAAATCATTTACATAAAATGAGATTAAAAATTATTTAGACATGAGAAATTATTATTATTTATGAACTTATGTCTCACCTATCGTTTGCTTGGCTGCAGCTTTGTCTAGTTAGTGAAGGCAAATCAAAGAATTTCAAGAAAGATTCCCAGATTTTTAGCAACAAAATTCTGTGTAAAAATCAGGATTTCCTTTCATCTGATTGGGATGGTTCCCTGCCTTGTCTTTATACCAGACAGTAAAACGTCACAAACATCAGTAGTGATTCATCTTAACTTGTCATTCAAAATGAAGTAGAAGATAAATCTATAATATTTTGTCAAGCCTTGTCACATTGACGGAATTGGGAAATTGTTCAGAGTCAGCTGAGCATGGTCTTGCAGATTCTGTGGTAGGTAAATAATTTGAAGCTTGAGTACATGATAAACAAAGATAAATTTTTAGAAAGAACGACGCAGGCACATAGGATAGTAAAGATTTTCGGACGATCATTGTTGTCTTAGGACTTTAATGCTTTAATTGTTGGTCTTGGTTTTCAGTCATCGAGGTTCAGAAGACGGTGTCTACTGAGTTACTAACTTAATGGGTTACTTACACAATACCTACATGTTGATTTCATCACGACGTTTGTTACGATGTTTTCTGATTATTCAGTTGTTTCAGGTGATTATTCACTTACTTCTTGCAATGTTTATTTAACTTCCTATTATCCTTTAGCATGCATCGCAGTAGCGTGCAAAAGCATACGATGACTCGGTAGCAAATCGCTAAGCGATTGGCTTCCGCGTCGGGGATCGTGGGGTATATTCCCACAAGGGTCAAGTATTTGTGTGACCCACAGATATTTGGTCCGGATCTGGATGTTTGTTTCCCAAGGAGGGTTGACGACAGGCAGACGGGCGGGCGTAAAAGCATTGTCAAACCTGCTTCTCCTACACATTTAAAAATTTCTTTTTCTACATATTTTAATAAAACTGCTTACAACAGGATTCACATGTTTTGCCGAGCCCAACTAGGTGTGATAAGGGCAGGAGGATAATGATGATGCATCTTAGTAGCATCGGAAACACTAGTATCATCGTAAATAATCTGTAAACAGATATACTACGATTAGCAACGTTCGGAATGGATCATATTTGGTTAAGTGACTGGTGCTCGCAGTATAAAATTTCTTCCCTATTTTGGAGAGCATGTCCACCAACTTGTATGGCCATTTCCTCCACAGGTTTACACGAAATGTTGAAACAGATTTCTCATAAAAGCCGCGTCCGAAACCCGTACTGCCCTTTTGGCGTATTTGCCTGACGGTGACATGTGCGTCGCGAGTTCCATTGCCAACCATGGTCAATATATGTTTTATCTACTGATTAATTTTAAAAATTTATTTTAACTGCGATTCTTTACTTCAATGTCGCCACATTATTCTAAGCCATAACTGACAACTTATTTCCACGAGAAACATTTTTTCTGTCATAAATTTTTAAGCTGTATTCTATTTTAATTTTTATTTTAGTTGTATTTTTTTCTCCATAACTGTAACTCTCTATAACATTTACATACATAAAAAATACGTTAATCTATTAATTCTAAAGGAATCTATTAATGTTGTGTTTGCTTATCATTTGGATGTGATGATTAATAATAAATAATAATAATAAATATTTTAGGACACATTTTTACACAACACTTTCTAGTCCCAAACTAAGCAACGCTTGTACTATGGGTACTACAATGCTGATAAACATACTTAAACATATTTTTCTTTTGTGACTAAATACATATTATTCATATATAAACACCCAAACACTAGAAAAACACTATGTTCATCACACAATATTTTTCCAGTAGTGGGGATCGAACCCTCACTCTTTGGCACAGGAGGCAGGTACAATACCCACTATGCCATTCGGGTCGTCAATATTGTTTGTTTTGATTGTTTTAAGCATTTACATTATTGTAAATGACCTAAGAAAGTTTTATTGTCTGTCACATTTCATTGTCACATCTGCAGGCGAGCTTAATAAATTAAAACAAATTAAATTAATGTTATGAAATGTACTTCTATCGTTGTTGTTTGTAAAATTCGTCTACAAAGTTAGACTATTTTATGCAGTAATGTAATATTCTTTAAAAACAAAAATATTAAGTTAAGTCCAGGGAGTCAGCTATAATGAAAGTAAAAGTCAAAATGTATAAATTCAGTGATCACATATTATTGTAGAAGTAGATACCTGCACTATTTTCCAAATTTGTCTATATATTATGAATTTCGAGAAGATGTCGTTTTTTAATGCTTATGCGAACTGATGAAAGCCAATAAATTGATGAAATAGAATCTTTTCTGTACTTGTAAGTTTCCTGATTACTTTCGATTATTTTAACTTTAAAGTATTGTTTCTCGTCGGTTGCCTCTTGGGTGACTCGCATCACGTTCTTCCTATTATAGCAGCAAATAAAAGGGTAGGTAAATTTAGGTTTGTCGTTAAAGTTACTTAAAAGATAGTAATTATTGTCTAGCAAAGAAAAAAGTAAAAAAAATCACCAGATGCCTGCTTACAAAAAGGAATACAGGATGACAGGAACATAATATGTCAATACGAAGCGAGTACAAAGCGTTGCGGCAATTTTCACGCAGGTGCATAATCGTACACTGCACGAAACGAACGCGTCTTTACTTTACACAGCCAAGCATAAACGCCATCGAGTTACCTCGCTCTGCTACTCGCAGACGGCCGAATCTAGCAACACGCGAGTGCACCCGAACGGCAAACTTTTGCTAACTCCACCGCGTGCGGCGCCCAAAGCGAGCGAGCCGCTCGTTGCTCGCTCGTCGTTCGTCTCGCGTCGCCATTCGTGATTCGTATTTCGTTCGTCTCGACTCTCGTCAGTCCGGAGGTGTCCGCGGGCGGGGCGGCACGTGCGGTGCGCGCCTCGCGTGTATTGTTTTGGCTGCATACCATTGTTTAATTCCATCCGACAACAATCGATACGACGTTGATGCGAAACAGCATTGCCTACAACACCGCATTATCCTTTAATATAGTTGCGTAATATATTATGACAATAATGTGTTTCATTTGTACTTAGACGCGTAAAGTACATGATGAGGTGATTTATTGACAAGTGAAATTCGATCGCCCATTCATCTGTAGGATGTTCCGTCTATGTTTTGCCACTGAACCGTTAACGTGCAAGTGATCTTTGTTGTAAAGTAAAGCATGCAAATCAATAATCAAGTGGATGCCCTGCTGCGAGCAACCAGAGAACTCTTACTGTGAAGTTTATTACACGGTTGCATATTGATTAATTCTTTACTGGGATTACTGGAAATACTTGATAACGGTAAGTAAACGAATCTCTATAAAAACGTAATATTTTTATTAATCATGTATTATAATATATGTAATATATGTAATACACGGGATTTCATGCAAGGTCGAAAATTTATGTTCTCTCAAAATTGTCACTCAATATACTTACAACAGTTTACAGGGGCGTATTACACAGGAAAAATATCATTTACATCAAATACAATTTGGTTGAATATGTAAAATAAACGCCCCTGTGTTTTTGTAACTACTCGTAGGTATACTAATACTATCTACTTACTTTTGTGATTTATTGCAGGTTGTTTGCCAAGCTCACCTCATATTTTGCTTAAAGCATCGGAGTAATTTAATTCATGGCAGCGTTTGGTTCATTTTTTTTTTAAATGGAACTCATTGTTATAGTTCAGCGATTTAAATGCAATTCTATTTATTTATAAACCTAAAACCAAAAAACGGTTTCAGAATAAACATAGTAACATATTTTTTATATAATTATTGAAAAATAAAAACAACATGCACACTACATTTTGCTTTCTAATACAAAAGTGTGCCTCTACTTACATATAATTTTTCTTTTCAAGAAAAAATACTGCACTGTTTCAGAAATCGACGTAGATAATAGAAACATGTACGCATCTGACTGGTGATTATTAAAAAATCACTCAAATTAACTTTAATAATCTTTACTAATTTGTCTACTTCTTAGTTACTACGAAAGTATGGAAAGTTAGTAGATACTAAGTATTCAAAAATAAACCCATTGAGAAATATTTTACCATAGAAAGAAAATACAATTTTACTCACATGTTCAATGATGAGCACGATGAATACTACTATTTCAATCCTTAACCAGGGGTTTCTTATACAAATAAATTGTGATTGTATATTGGGCGATGACACACATCTATCGTGGTGTTTTGTTATTGAAGCGGACAGTACTGTAATTCGAAGAACTCGACAAAAAGAAGCTTAAAGTTGTTTGATTAATTGAATTTCTTCCCGTGTCTTGCAATTTGAATCTTATGACATGTACTTTAAGTGACTTATTCTTTGAATTGAATTCATGGTGGGCCTGAATTCTATCAAACCACCTATTGAGTTTATGCAACCATGATAAACATAATAGAAGGCTCCTCCAATTTTCATTAATTGTAAAAACCAACAAATATAGTGTACTGGACCATAAACCATAGTGCAAAAATATCTTAAAATAGTTTCCAAATCCCTAAATAAATAAAAAACTATTGCTTGTAAACATTACTTCGACATTTTTTATTTAAAAACCTGATAAAATTACGTATTCACTCTGGTTGTGCGTATATCTCTATTATGGCTGATTTTTACCGACACTATTGTTCTCAAATATACAATTCAATCCTTCTGAGGTCATTCCTATTGTTGTGGATAGGATTAATAGCGTTAATAATGCAGTGGGTATAAGACCCACCATTCTTGTAGACGTCGCCCGCCTACCTGCTCGACCTTACTCCTGGGATTCAATTGCATCTGGAACAATGAGGCTGGAGCCGTGACCTGCGTCTTAGTTGTATTGACTCTTAATAATTGTCTCAGTGATTGCGAAACCATACTAATTTATAGCGAACTAGTTTTTCTTTTTGACTGATCTCCTAAAAATTGTGTCCGATCTCGAAATATTAAAATACACTCGACCCTCAGTCTATCTTTTCACAACGATGTAATTAAACAAAATTTCACTGTAAAGCCATCTTTAAATAATGTACACGACCCAAACAGGTGTTGTATGAGGGGTGCGTAGTTCAATGTAATTTAAGATGAGTAGTCTCGAAGCGCATTTGGACGCATACCTGGATTACAAGTAGGTGAGCAACCAGTTTTGGTTAACCACCACCTGGTCGATCTTTCTAGATCCTGCCAATACCCTTAAATCTTAGAATAAAGTCATAACTCTTAAAAGCGAAATACAATTGACTGTGAGAATAGAAAGCGAGATACGATTTCCGATCTGTAACCTCGCTTTTCAATTATAGCTCTTTTGTGTTAATACTTTCAACTACTTTTGAGGTTAGAAAACTATAATCATCCATAAACCATTGTCACTTCCATTGTTCCATGCAGCAAAATACGCTTTAGCTAATAAATCTTAACAATACAATCAAATGCTGACAACGTAACGTTTCAAGTTAAATTATTTTACTATTAAATAATTCACAAATGATGTACATTTGATGATACATCATGTTTTTTCATGTTTTAAATTGTCAAGGGAGTCTGCGGTCTCCTGATGTTACTCGATTACCTCCGCCCATGGATATTTATCACCTCATTGAACATGCGTTGGCAACTTTTATAAAGAATGGCCCGGATTACCTCACTAAACGAAACACAAAAATCACTATACTTCAGTGGTTCTTCTCCGGAACTTGCTCACTTGTAGAACAGCAGAACTAGCTTTGTCAATTGTTCATTATAGCAAATATATTGAGTAAATATATTTTCAATAATGATACTTTTGATCGCATAATGGGTATGTTCACAAGTGACATTGAAATGAATAACATTGCGAGGACCCTGTATATAATTGTGGCAAGGTCGGCGTTGTTGGACGGAACATCTCAACATAATAGAATAGGCTATTCAGACGTTACTTGTTTGTTTTAATAACAAAGTATCTGTTTTCCATAACCGCGAATTTGGGGAGAAGCCACGCGTTTGACGTTTGCACATAAGTTTCACATATAGAGTAATAGACAAAAGTTATTCCTACTCTTGTACGAATTCATTTTTACGGATATATTTACTTGAGATATGGCATTTATTTGGGTATTTTGGATACAATTTTTTTTTGTTCTACAAGGTAAAATGTCACTAAAACTAATAAAATTATAATTATGTAAATTTTGTAAAATTCCAATATACGTTTATTGTGGCTTACTGAGTTTGCCATAAAGTAGTTTCTACGCTGTATTGACATAACTTAGATAATTTAATGGCAACCATGTCATTTTGAATAGAAAATAACACATCCAGTTATACGTTTCACGTATGTTATTTGTACATTATATACATGTATGCCTGTTAGTATTTATTGTGCATAATATTATTTTGAATGTTCAACTTATGTCTTATACGCATCGTTACAAATGGTATGCATAATGATTCACTTCTCTCCTGATCCAATCTTTCGAAGGAACTTCTATGCGGTCGGAAATTCCAACGTTCCCAATGATTCATCAGCCCTTATCCCATCGTCATTTTCAAAGTCATTGTAAAGTTTACGTTAAAAGCTTATTTTATCGCTGACTTTCCGAAGCTTCTTTGCGTACAACCATCCTTCTTGATGATAAGTGGTTAGACCTACTACACTGAGGGCGAAATGTTTTAAGTGCTTACTTGCTTTTGCGTGTCGTACTGTATATTTGATTCCGTCAAAACAATGCCGGGATTGAGACATCTAATCTGTTTGTGGTAAATCACCAAATCAATAGATGCCTATTCCCTATTGTCTTTAAGATGTGGCTAAATTCTAATATATATGTAACCTGCTTACTCTTACTTTGTACAATAAAAAATAGAGGGTTCGGCACGAATCTTTCCGAACACTCCGCCTTGGCTGGAGACGGTTGCTATTTGTGGTCGACCGGTTGCGACCGGTCGATTCTACGGTACCATCCCTGGCGTTTTGTTCGTAATAAATATCTGCGTCGTCGGCTACGTCCACGCTATGGCTTGATTGGATATACATATCCATGCTGTTAAAGGACAGTGAACCGATTAGCACTATTTATATTTCCACCCTTATAACAATCTAGAAGAAACAAGAAAAAAATGTTTATAAGGCGCATGACAGTACAGGAAAAAATAAAATAAGAAACCAGAATAACAACATAGTCGTGAAAATGTATGCACCAAAAACAGCATCAAAAACGTCTACGTTCAGTACGTAGCCGGGGCAGAAAGTACCACGCCACTATTTTAGGATAGGAGTAGGCGTACAGCTCTACATACAAAGCATATACTCTACATAAAATATACAAAGTTAAATACGGATATGTAATTTAACGAAGTAAATCCGGTTTAATTTTTATATCTAATCATAGACATTCCGAAAACTATCGAGTCCATTGTTTTAAGCACTGTAGAACGGACTGAGGTGTTTACCCGGCCCAATAAAATTTGTTAGTACTCTTAGTTTTCCCAAAACATTTTTACAAATTAAATTTTTGTGAAAATTGCATTTCAAGATCTGAATCTTTTTAATGGGCTTTAATGTACCTCTAATGAAATATACTCTATCATTAGATAAACCGTCAAATGGAATATTGGTGGATGTTACAAATTGACTTGAATTAAATTGAACTGTAATATATGTATATTTTAATAAAACTGTATTCTACTCTCGTGTATATACGATTTTTACCTGTTATTAACTTATTAATCCTTTATTTTCTTTTCCTCGTACACAGTTATTATAAATTGCTTCGAACGGTCGGTAAGCAACTCAAGGAATAGAATTTTGTTTTCTAAACCTCAATTTCCTTGCGTGTGGTTATGTGTTAATTTGTTCATTAAACGAATAAACTGTCTGTACTTTTAACGCAGTACAAACCGCGATGAAAACTAATCGCAACTAACATTTACACTTAATTGCTACGATTTAGGTTT